GAGCGGGGACAGGAGCTTGGACAGGAGCGGGACGGGACGGGAGCGGAGCCGGAGTGGGGACAGGAGCGGGACGGGACAGGAGCAGAGCCGGATCGGGACGGGAGCGGAGCCGGCGGAGCCGCAGCGCTGCTCGGCTCTCCGGGTGAAGCCGCACGGGACCCGCTTCGGCTGCTTCGGTTAGTGTCCAGGCGACTGTTCCTAACTGCTGAGAGATGGAGCTCCAACCAAGTTAAATGGTGTCAATGAATGAACTGATGAACTTTTGAATTAGTATTGTAAGGCATTATTCATGATGGGGAGCGGAACTGTAAGGAGAAGTGGGGGGAGGAGAAAAAAATTCAGAAGCAGAAGGTGTAAATAGCACGCACAAACTTCAATTTATGGACAGGAAGCCTTCAAGATTAGAGGGTAAGGAGGGGAATTGCATGGAAGCATTCACCACGAGCGCAGGTAAGAGATTAATGGAACCTGACATTTCCTGAGCATCCCCTCAGCTCTCAGCCATCAGAAAAAATAAAATCCTGAACCTTGTGGAAGACTAACAGCACAATGCTGCCTGAGTTTGACCAGGCAATAAGGACCAGTGGCCTCAGCTCCTGGCCCTGACTAATGCCATTCATACCATGCCTTCAAGGCTACCCACCCTCATATTAATGCCCTGCCAACTCCCTGCCCAGAGGATCTGGCAAATCCAGAACCCTTGTCCTCGTCTTACGCAATTTTGTAACTTAGAAAATTTACGATAGGTGCTGGGGAGCAGAAAACAAAGCAACCAGTTCAGTTGTTAACCTGTGCAAACCAGGTGGGCCCTGTCCAAGTGACAGAACGATCCTTTTGAGGATTTTAGTATCATATTTTAGTATTATTATCCCATTTTAGTCTTACTCATTTGTTCAAACAATCTGTTGTTGTTGGGGCTTCTCCCTGTCACACCTTTCTCATCCTTCCCCATGGTCATATCTGAGATCACAAAGTTCTTTTGAAAACTAGAAGTTTGAAAAACAAAGTTAATTATGTCCTTTGAAAAAGTCTCAGTAAACAGATATGTCTGTCCATATTGTACAGCATGTATGCACAGGTGTCTGCTGCCCAGTGGAAGGGCTCTGATGCACAAACAAGAATAAAGTAATGACTCACAGGTTGTCTTTGGTTTGCTTCTGAGAAAGCAATCAAAACCTGCCTTGTACAGTAGGGTACAGAAGAGTGATGCTTCTGGAGACCTTAGGAGCAGCACTAGGACAGCCCCATTACTACCACCACTGTCATAAGGGACATGCTACTACAGAGCAGTGTGGGAAGAGCCAACTGGCCCTCTTTTGTTCAGATCCAAGGCTGTCAAGCCAGATCTTCTCACGAGATCCCAACTCAGATTAAAAAGTAACTATAAACAGTTGGAGAGTAAAGTCTGAATACCTCAAAAATATTCCCAAAACCTGACCAAACAGCCAGACAGGAGGCTCGGTATGAATATCAATGCCAGGACTAAAATCTCTGAAGAGCCTTTTAGCTCTACAATGGAATATGTTCCACAAAGCAGCCTACCCTTCCCTAGTCTTGCACACAGGCTGTGTCTGGGCTGACCTTCACATACAATCCCTATGCATGTTGATATCCTGCCTTTGGAATTTTTCTTCACATAGCAAAGGAACATTTCTTGTGCTCTTGATGATCAGTCATGGAAGAGTTTGTACAAAAAGCTAGGTGATTATCAAGTTAAGCTCATTAAAAGAGGTAGCTTCCACCCCTCAACATCAAACTGAAAATGTACAAGCATGAATACTCAGATCAGCATGTACATTAAGCAAAATTGTTTGTCCTAAATGCTAATCTCAGATGTTGCTGATTTCCACAAATGTGAAGTTCTTCATATGCCATGAGCTACATCAAAACCAACCCCCAAACCTGTTACACATTAGAAATGTAATATTAGAAATTCTAGAAGCATATCAGAAAGCACAACATAGAAGCACATACTCGAAACAAAACCTGACGGAGACTACTGAGCCCTTCTGTAGGCAAAAGGTTATAATTCTCAAGATTTCTCCCATCCATTATAGATGCTACTTAGCAAATTTCACAGTTTTAATGTAACAGACAATTGTTAGTGATCTGCAATTAGCATCTGCACTTTCTTTATACACATATATAAATGCATCTCAGCACAGGAAAGACATGGACCTGTTAGAGCAAGTCCAGAGGAGGGCCACAAAAAACATCAAAGGGCTGAAGCACCTCTCCTATGAGGACAGGCTGAGAGTGTTCTGTTGTTCAGCCTGGAGAAGAGAAGGATCCAGGGAGACTTCATTGCAGCCTTCCAGTACTTAACGGGGGCCTATAAGATAGATAGGGATAGACTTTTCAGCAGGGCCTGTTGCAACAGGACAAGGGACAATGATTTTAAACTGAAGGAGGGTCGATTTAGATTAAAGAAAAATATCTTACATGAGGGTGGTGAGACACTGGAACAGGTTGTCCAGAGAGGTGAGAGATGTCCCATCCCTGGAAACATCCAAAGTCAGGTTGGACAGGGCTCTGGGCAACCTGATGTAGTTGAAGATGTCCCTGCTCATGGCAGGAGAGGTGGACAAGATGACCTTTAAAGGTCCCTTCCAACCCAAACTGTTCCATGATTCTATGTATCCATGTTGTACAATACAGCTGCTATGCTATGGCTTTGCTGTACCCTCTTTTCAGAGCTGTTCTGCATTTCAGCAGGTGAAACACTACTGTTCAATGGATGAATTTGCAACCTACCATTAATTAGAACCATTAAATGACATTTTCAACAAGTAGTTTTCTACCTGCTGTCCATAGATCTTTGTGAGTCTGAAGACCATTTTAAAGGACCCATAAAATTTTGAGAAAAGCAAGACTACCCAAGCACCTAAATTCTCTGTAAAAGAGAATGGATTTTTATTGAAAATGGTCAGGGATCTGTAAATCAAGAAAGGCCAAAAACTTTCAATATGAAGAAGTTCCAGATAATACAATTCATCGTAGGGATTTGAGGCTGGTTAACAAAGTCTTTACATGTGCTTCTGCTGCATAGAGTACTCTAACTCCACTAGTATTTAAAGATCTGTGTATGTTTTTTTACATGTATGAATATAAACACCAGAGAAACAATTAATTTCTGAGTGCCTCCTATATCATATAAAGTACCAGGACTTTATTTCTGCATCTCTTAGAATAAGAAGTTTTTCAGCTTCTTTTGCATTTTTTTATACTTCAGTGACACAATGGATCTTGGGAGCAAAGGAAGAATCCACTGCAACATGAAACTCACCTGCTTTCTGCTAATCATGGCAGTGTTCTGCATGACACCTTTCCTCTGCCATAATCAAATTAACCCTCTAGCTCTTGGGCGGGCAGACCCCCAGTGTTGGGAATCTTCCTCAACTGCCTTACTGGAGATGAGGAAACCTCGCATTTCTGACTCTGTCAGTGGCTTTTGGGACTTCATGATCTTCCTGAAATCATCAGAGAACTTGAAACATGGGGCTTTGTTCTGGGACCTGGCTCAGCTCTTCTGGGATATCTATGTGGACTGTGTGCTCTCCAGAACCCACGGCCTAGGGAGAAGGCAGCTAGCCGAAGCTGAGCAGAAGATTGCTACTCTACATTCTCAGTTCACAGGGAGAAACCAAGGTTACTACTCCTTTAATACATGTCTCATGGGCAATAACTAGAGTTTAGTCAGAAAGAAAGGACATACAGGCTTATTGTGTTATGCGGTAATAGTACAGAAAAAAAGGACAGTGCTGCCCAAACAGCCCCTACTCCTCCCAGTCAAGTACAGAGCTCTGTTTATGTTCAAGGCAATTTCACTAAAAGTTTGACCTCCAAACAGCCTGAACTCTAACAACAGCTCTTGGGTTTCAGTTTGGTGGGAAGGAGGGGCAGCAGAAAGTAAAACGTAGGAGAATTCAAACAAAGAAGGAAGTTCAGCAACTGAACACACAAATATATTCTTGTGCACCAGCATTTTTATCACTGTTGTGCTATGAACAGGCTAGTTCTGGATTCCTCATTCCAAGAGGTGCATCACCCCAGGAATGCATTGCACAGCTACTGTTCAGAAGGGTTGGCAGTCTTTCAGCATAAGAATAAGGATATGTTTACTTGCCATCTCACAGTCAACCACTAGGTATTCTCTATTTCCATACCGGTAACTTTGCCCAACACACAATGGCAACAGACCTAGGACTTAGATGAGTGCAGGCTTCAGACATAGCTGTATCTTCAGGAAGAACATCACTGTTTGTGACACTAAATGCTGCAATTCCTAATCTCCAGGTTCCCAGCCCCAGAGCAGAACCCCCAGACCTAACTAAGCATCTCTATATACATGTCACTTACTCTCCCCATTCCCAGAAGGGAGATAAAGCATAGTTTTCCTAAATCTCACACCCATCCAAGGCTTCAGTTCTGATTCTGCTACCAACAGGTGCATTCTTCCCTTGAGAATATCTACTTTCAGAAACGGGCAGGTACTATTATTTGATGGAGAGGTAGAAGTGCTGTTGCAACACCAACAGTACAGCTCCTTGGGCCCACAGTGAGAAGGCAGAACTGCCTTTACACTTCAGACCCTTATCTCCACTTCCTAGATCAGTGTCTTAGTTACTAAGGTGTTTGGGGGAATGTCCATGGAAAAATAAAGAAATTCTCTGGGCAATTATCCATTCAAGTGTCTCTAAAAAATGGACTTGAACTCAGGATTCTTGTACCCCAGGGACACTATACCACTGGACAGTCCTGCTGTTGCCCACAAACCTTAACATTTTTTGAGTATTGAAAGACAGGATTTGAGATAGGGGTAAGGACCTCTCAATCCTTCCTATTACCTATGGACAATTAAGCCAGGAGATTGATTCAAACACAACTATCTCCTTAGACTGAAGGACTCACACATACAGGGCTACTTTCTAAACTCTGAGCCAAACAACCACTACTTGCATTTTAAAAGCAAGGAGTGGATCCTATCCTGCTCTGCAAAGGATCTGAGCAATCACATAGCTCTGACTGAATCTTTACTGTGTTAAGATATACTGCTGGCAAACATACTTCTAGTTTCCAAGCAGCCCTCAACATCACAAAGGCAACAAGTTGGTCAGTCCTGACCAGACTGGTGTACTTTTGGGTGCAAAAGGAATGCAGCTTTAGACACACAAGGCAGCAGTACTGTCAGAAACTGAGACGCCCACCAGGCTAAAGCATCAGATGAATTTTTTTTTTCAGGATTGCAGCTTTGAATATCACTGTTTAAACCCCCTACTTAGCCTTTTGTTTACATCTTCGTATCTGTATCACACTGTGATTTTCCTAAACAAAGAGCTTTTGTTCCAGTCAAGATTAAGAGTAACAGTCTGATGTATTTTGAAGAATCAAATTATGGGGTTTGTGATTAATGCTGACTTTTGTTACACTTATACAGAGATATTTTAAGCACTACTAAGTATTCACACTTTAAGACAAATAAGGATTCCTCCCTTTCACTATTCCTTTACCTCTTTGTTTTGTGAATTGTAATCAGTTAATCTGGTTTCTCTGTACAACTGATTAACATCAGTCAGTAGGAGGCAGCTTATAGCAGTGACAGCATACATTTTATGTTTTGGAGGAGCTATCTAACTTCTCATCCAAGTTTCCCAAGTTTCTTAACAAAGGCAGCTGCTTTAATCTTTATAACCCTCGATCCTACTGCCTTATTTCAATCAGTGAAAGCAAAAATCAATTGGTAATAATTGCAGATAGGAAATGGTAATTCTATTCAAGACTGTTAGGATGTGATTTCTATCTGTGAAGAGATGTACAAACCTGTTTTCTAAGCCTCATGAGCAGCACTAACAGCACTTGAATTACCTTCTGTACTTCACATCTACATGGACAGGCATGAATAGCTTTCAGTTGGCTTGCTCTAGGTATCAAAAAATAAAGCAAGTTTTTTTGCTTTATACTGTTACTTTACTAACTATAGATAACTTCTTTATTGCTCCATACTTAAGTTTTTCAAGTTATTCCTCTTAAATAGTCACAATTTCAATATGTTTATTTGTGGGTTTTTTGGGGGGGTGGGGGTTGTTTGGGTTTTCTTAAAATTGCAAACAAGGTCATAAATCAGGAACAATCTGCATTCACTGTAGTTCCTAAAACATACCACTGAATTGGAAAAGCAAGACAGAGATCTGAACTTGGTACAGAAATACTGATGTTAAGGTGTTATTATTAGCATTACATTTCAGAACTAAGGGATAAATCCTGTAAGATCATTATGAAAACTGAGTGTCAGGAACTGAAATTTTCTAAGAAAAAAAATAAATAGAAGCCCACCAAGCAAAAAAAAACCCAAGTGAAGTCCTTAGTAAAGCTTCTTAGTAGTACTGAACAAAGCCACATCTTAGAAGCACTTCCACAGTTGCCAACCCTTGGTCCTCCCAGGAAACAAGTCTCTCTGAGTGTGCACCAGGACAGTGGCAGAAACAGCCTAGTTCAACTTACACGTTCAAACATTCTTTTCTGAACCAATCTGGACCCATCAGGCTGCTGATTGTAGTCACTAACATGTCTGAAGATACTCTTAACCTCTACACAATCCATGAAAAATACAACAAAACCAGAACAACTATGAGTAATCCGACAAACTGCCTGAATCCACCTAAAATGCTACTTAACCCAGCAGCATTTCAACTTCCCTAGACATTCTACTGAGAAGTGTTGGTTAGCTTTAAACTGTCATGAATAGGGAGAGGCTTCCACAGTTACCTGGACAAGGAATCTTTAGTAACTCACCCTTTTCCCCTAACAAAATCCGGACACTATGGAAAAGCAGGTTACATAAAAAATATTTCCAATATATTGCAATACTGCAGTTAGATACATTATAGCTGTAAACAACGCTTAACAAGCCAAAATAAGACTTTAGAACCACAAGAAAACCACAGCTTTTGTACTCAGAGCAAATCTTCCTGAAGAGCAGCTGTACCAGCAATTCCTCCTCAAGAAGCCACATAGCACATCCTCAGCATAAACATTTGAAGACTACGAACCCCAGAACCTCTCTGCCTGTTCTCTCCTTACCCAGCAGTCCCTATCCTACCTTACCACTCAGTGGCCACAGCTGTGCACACCTCCCTCACAGCTGAGATCAGCACCTGGCCCAAGGCAGACTAACTTGCTTTCCCAGCTCTGCAGAGTGTCAGAGAGGGCAGTGGGGCAAAGGCTACCATACATCTGAGATCTAGTAAGCAAACAGGTATTGTGTTAACCAGTTACTTTTTCAGAAGACAAATATGTCTAAAAGAAAGAAAACCTATCTGTTGCCTTTTAGAGATCATTGCAAAGACAATGCCCCATAGTTCCTCAAGGAAATCATAAACGTGCTACTAAACAGCATGAGAGATCTCATCCACTGGGCAGGGAGGTTGTTAACAAGCTGGTGAGTCAGTAGGATTCTGAGTGACGTAAGTAATTTGACTCTGCTAATTACAAGTACAAGAGTTCTATAGGAAGGCCGAAGGAAAAGATCCATACTGGGGGAAAAGATCAAAGAGAATTGACACTGAAAGGCAACTTGCAAATGGAGGGATATGGATATCACCAAAGCAAGAGGCTTGGGGGCAATGCTGATAAAATAGGGACCAGCAGTACCTAAAGAGAGGAAACACAGATGTGGGAAGCTGAGTATTCAGCTGCTCTTTGCTGTTCAGAAATTATTTACTTATATGCATTTTCATGTCACTTTTCAGGGATATTTTCTCATATTCAGAGGTCGCCAGTTCTGAAGAAGAGTCATTTGAAGATTTAATAAATATCCACATGCATAAGAGTAGATCTACATTACTTGGAAGAATCATTGGAGAGCTAGGAAAAAAGAGGAAATTACACATTTAGTCCAAGATCTTGATTTGTAGATTTTTTTAACTACTTCTCTTTATTTTTTGTATTTTCGTCCTCATTTCTGGCAATTTACATGATGAAAGAAAGAAGGCCTGTAAGCATGAGCACCATATCTTTGATTAACTTGGACTTATGGGTATTTTAATTGCCTATGAATTTAATCTCCTTAATAAACTGCATGATTTATAAGCAGTTTCCTACTTTAATCTGTGTGTATGTCAGGCTTCTTGTGATCCATGTGACCTATTCAAACTACTGTCTTTTGAGTGCCAAAACAGGAAATAATTGATCCTTCACTAAAACACAGACAAGCAGAAAAGGAAGTTGTTGTAAAACCTCCACTGGCCTCAAGACAGGATTAGAGTCTAGAGGGTGATGTTTGATGGTATGCAAAGTTGTACACTTGTACAAGGTGACCACTGCTCAAAATCCTACTAGAGAGAAATAGTACATATTTTTACATGAAAAATACCTTCCAAAAATGTTTTCAGTTTTCCAGTAAAATAAAAGGAATAATAGATTTTACCAGCTCCTCTGCTTTCACATTGCATTTTTATTTCCCCTAAATTCTTAGTTTTAAAAACACTACTTAAAATATTACACATTCTCACTTGAAGTGTTAAATCACAGAAATTCTCATACATAACTGAAATTTGTTTATTTTTTAGTTTGCAAGTTCTGTGTAGACAAATCAGTTTCCTCTGACTGTAACTGCTAACTCTAATAGGCAATTTGATATTAAACTCATGCAACATAACTTTTCTTAAGTACTATGCTTTTCAGTAGCCTTCTCAATCAGATCAGCCTAAACTCCGTTACACATGAAACAAAGCTTTGGAATATATAATTAACCTGACTTTTCTGCCAAAGGTTCCAAAAACTTTCACCCAAAGCAAATTTATTTTCCCAGTAATCACAGAAAAAATCATGTAAAACCTACGAGTATTTGGAAAACTGATTTAGTTTCAGTGATGTGACTAAAATCCTTAAAAGTATGCAAATTTTCTTGAACCATAACTGGTTTTGGGCACACATGCACACATTTACTATTTTTTATGTGTCTCCTGCAGAACAGTGATAGAAAGATGCTGGATCTGTATTTTTTCTCTCTGAAGTGGTGCTGAATAATTTGCATTTCTCAGGTCTTTAAAATCCTTCTGGGCATTATCAGAAAAAAAAAGTTCCTTGTTGCTGTCATCAACAACAGATCCAGGCACAATTCCAAGGAAGTAACTCAACAATCAACACATCAACAGCTGAAGTGAGAGAAATGGGCAATCATTAGCACTGCTGAGGAATCCACTGCACAGGAGCTGGAAATCATCAATAAAAAAGGAACAATTGTTCTCCAATCCCTTCCTGGGGAATTTAGTAAATCAGAAAATCTCTTGTACTGTGTTATTTCAATGCAACATCTGAGACATTTTTTTAAAGAGTCAGACATGACATCAATTACCTTAAATAGTTCAGTGAAGTTGTAAGGTGAATGGTAGTTTCCATCAGTTACAAGATGGTGAAATTACTTGGTTGATGAGGTCAGAAAAGGACCTGCAAACTTGCTCAGCTGTAGAGAAAAACTCCTGCTGCAAAGCAGAGTGTTGATCTGAAAAGTAGAACAGATTTTAAGTCTTTCTGAGCTTTTGGATGCTACCAGAGCCCTGAAAATGAACTCTATGAATCTCTAAGATAGCTCTGTAGAAACAACAGCTTTTTCTGTCATATTCGTTATTACATCCTCATTATCAAAAGTGAGGCATCCTGAGTGCTGAACAAAGCTCTGCTGTGTAAGATCATTGATTACAGAAAGATTTTGTACTGCTGGAAGTCTGCCTGGGACTACAGTCATAGTTACAGTGTCACAGAAGTGGCAACAGAAAAGATCTCCGGTGCCCTCACCAGTTTAAGTTTGCTTCTTATTTGACTAATGAGACTGATTTCCTATAATGCAGTTTCAAATTAGTCCAACATCAGGGGCTGTATTCAGAATATGCTCTACCTTACAACATAGAGCTGGAGTCCTTGGCTCCAGGCAAGATTCTGAGTTTCCTCTGTTTAAATGATTATGAACAATATTATAGAATAGACTGGATGAAGGTGAGAAGACAATGTCAAGATGACTGAGAGAACTTATACCTGGTTGGGTTTGGAGAGACAATGCATCCTTCAGTTTCATCATTAGCTGCTGCAGTTCCACTTCCTCTCTGACTTCCTTCTCATCAAGTGGTATCTGCACTGCAGTGGGAGTAAGAATTGTATTTCTCATGGTGCCACTGAGAGAGTTTTCTGTCAATTTAGGCAGATACGTTTGATCCTCTGTTGCTTTTTTATACTGTCTCACAAAGGGTCTGTCACTCTGCAGGGACACTGACTCCAGAGGGTCATCTGAGAACAAGGTCATCTGAGGCTCCTCTTCAGTGGGAACCTCACATGTCTCTTCAGTGAGAACCTCATATGTCTGTAAGAGCTGCATTCTAGTTGCAGAGTTGGGGGGATTCAAAGATTTCTCATCTGCATGTGTTCTGGAAGTAGGGCTTGTTTGGACAGGATGTCACTCTGCAGGGACACTGACTCCAGAGGGTCATCTGAGAACAAGGTCATCTGAGGCTCCTCTTCAGTGGGAACCTCACATGTCTCTTCAGTGAGAACCTCATATGTCTGTAAGAGCTGCATTCTAGTTGCAGAGTTGGGGGGATTCAAAGATTTCTCATCTGCATGTGTTCTGGAAGTAGGGCTTGTTTGGACAGGATCTAAACTGCCCTCTCCTTTCCTCTGAACATGTGGATTTCTTGACATCATATTCTGACACTGTGCAAAAGGATGCTCTGATGACTGTAACATTGTCTACAATATAAAAAAAACACAGAAAATACATTGTGAAAATAATGATATTTTGGTTTGCAGTAGTATTAAAACAGCATTGCAGAAAATGCTACAAAAATGCTGCAGGTGGCAGAGGTATGTATTGTCTGTGAAATAAGGGCCTTTTTAGAATCTCAGAGATATTTTAAAGGAACAAGAATCAATACAAATGAAAAGAAATAAAATATTGTCTTAAGATGTCTGTATTACATCCCAGTACAAGACAACAATTAGGAATGACAAAAGAGTATTTTTTTATTCAATAACAACACAGGATTCTTCTCTGAAGAAAAGAATGTAATGAAGTATTTAACACTTCTGGTGGAAACCATTTTCTCAAGTGTATTGGAATACTCTCATTATTTTCATTGCAGTAGTATGTAAATTTCCCAATAGGGATATCTGTGCTAAATGCTAGGTATACACAGAATGACAAGAAAATCCCTGCTGCAAAGAGCCTGTTGCTTTCTCTGAAGACAAGAACCTAAGATGACTGAAAATACAAGTGGAAGGTGCATGAGATAGTACCAAGAGTGCTGGTCTGCAAGAAAAGTATTAGTACGGTAATTGCCCATAGCTCTGATGATATTTATCACTATACCTGTATTTCTTGCTTCATTTGCTGCAGAGTCATTTGGAGGTTTTCATGGTTTGCTCTCAGTCTTTGGAGTTTTGCCTCTATTTTGCAGTTTTTTTCTTCCTGGCAGTTGTGAAGATACTGCATTTTGTCCTTCCATTTGTTGAACTGCTGTTTCACGTACCTGCCAGGGACACAGGAGGGTGGATTTTTTGCTAGATCATACATACACAAATATATGCAGTCATAGAAAAGAACAAACACTTTAGCACAAACTTAATTCCTTTCACCAGTTCAGAAAATTTGTGTCAGCTTTGGGATTAGCGGCCAGCATTCCAGGAACTGGGCCGTCCATGGAATTAGCAAGAACAGGAGCGTTCTAGATAAGGGAGCTGCAAGCTGAGTGGAACTGTGGCCAGGACTGAACCTTGTATCTTAGGGTTTTACCTTTCCCACAAAGGTGGCTGCAACAGGAGAGATATTATTGCAGTCCCTCTGTCTAGAAGCAAACTACTTATGGCAAGTCCCTGACCTGCAAACGATTCCCATTATTTGCACCAGTCAATAACAAAGTAAAAGCAGCCTCTACCCCTTTGACAGAGTTTTTTCTTGCTCATGGTATTCTATGCAGTTTGTTTGATGATACCAATAGTTTCTGCACAGGCCACTTGTCCTTGAAAAGACACTGTGATTTTTGCAGTAAGAAGTGCCACCATCCCACACACACCAGAGACAATTTAGAAATTACCTACTCAGAGCACAGTATGATGAAAATACCACCCATAATTCTGTTCTAGTTGGGATTTCTCTAAGTCAGGGTAGAAATATAATTTTGCCTTCCTCACAGCTGAGGTGGAGACAGTAAAGTTTGTTAACACTACAGTAATAAACCAACTGCTTCGTACCGCAGAGATGAGATGATAGTCAGCTGCTTTGCTTAGTTACATCCAGAAGTTCATCTGATTCACTTTCTTTCAGTTATACTTTGGCTTAGAGACAAGAGCCCCATCAGTTTCAATGGAATTATGCAAGATTTGTCTGAATGGGACAGCAAGTCAGACCATTTAAAATTAAAATTAATATTACAGTGTTCTCTTATAACAGCATTTATAGGGTCTTTACTGTAAAATGCTGACTATCTTCAACTAACTCAGAGCCCAGTTGTGTGAACAGGCAGTGACACTGGAAGGTGGTGCAGAAATAAGAATAAAGAGCATCCCATGAGTATTGTGATTCATTCACCCAGTTATATGATAAGCTCTGGGTCAGAGATTGACGCAGAATTTCAGGAGCAGACTTCCCAGATATCCTCTCAACTATTACTATCTAAATGAAAGCTGAAGAACTTTTCCATATCTCTTTATTTTCCCAGGTGAGAACAGAGAGTGAGGTAAGGACACAGATTTAAAATGAAGCTACAACTGTTTAGCTCTAATCTTGGAGTGCCCTTGTGCAAATTTGGAGCAACAATGGTATACTGACATTGAATGAAAGAAAACAGGAACCGAGGGAACTGAACATACTGAAGGAAACAGAGTAGATTCAGGTTCAAATTCCAGCAGTTTCAGTGGTCACAGACATGGTTATATTTAGAGTACATTCATATATAACTATAAAACTGATGGAGGGGAAGGCAAAAATGCAAGAGAAGGTAAGAATCATTGCCCATACACCAACTTCCTCCCCTGCCACCCAAACAAACAAAGCTCCCAAGAAAGTTATAGTTTAGGAATTAATATTTTATCATGCCAAAGGTTTGAATATCAGAAGGAATTTCTGTGATAATCTGTCATGGATTTTTTTGCCAACCGTTATTGTATTAAGCCTGCAATCTCTATTTGATTCACAACATATTTTTTAGACAGATATCCTACTTTGATTTAAAAGTTTCATGCAAATTATGAAATTTGTTTTCATTAAGCCTCATTCAGAAAAGTTTGAAAAAGTATGATATTCTGATATTTTTATGTAAATAAGCATCTTTTCCCTTAAAAATTACCTTTAGAAATATAAACTAGCAATTGAAGAAATGTTGATGAAACCAAACAAAAATACTTTGCTTTACCATACATTGTTTTTCCAGTGATCTCCATTTACAGTTTTTGTTGATGAGTTTTTATCATTCATCCTCATTTGATAGGATCTTCTTAAATCTCAAAATCTCCAAAGTATGGAAAAATCATCTGTCCTCTAGCCCAGCCCAGGAGCAGTGCTGCCCATCACTCTTGTCAGTGTGCTACTGCTTTACCCACCTGCTGTTACTGTGAATGCTTTTGATGGATTCATGCATTTTTAACAGATCTGTTTCAAAAGTGGCTATTGCCTAGAACAAAAAAGAAGTATCTGTTCATAACTGTATCAGCAATAAAATTTTACTGTAAGAGGACATGGCAAATTTACTTGTTAACTTTTTTAGTTTAACTTATTAAAATCAACAGATGCATTGAAGTATTTCTAAAGGCTGTTAGAACAGACTGGAAAATTAATAGGACAAATTCTTTGTTCTATGACAAATTCTAAGTGTATGAAAATTTGTTTTAAATTAGAGCAAAACCCATATGGCCTAGAATTTCTGCAAAATTAATCTTTTAATTTGGGAACAGTCTTTCCAAGTTCTGCAACTCCTTTGGGACAAGGAGATGGAGGGAGAGACTGGATGTAGAAGAGAGAAGACAAACTCCTAGTCTTTGGATGGAAGTAGCAGTCTCTGGGCCATGCAGAGAACAATAGCCCAGAAGTCAGGGAGACAAACACATTCCACCTAAGCTGCTTATATAAATTGGGCTGGAATCAGGGCTGCCAGCACTGGGTCCCCAGGAACTCCATACCCATGGGTTCCATTAAAGCAATCACTGCACTTACTGTCCACATATTTTGAAGCAACATGGAAATAATCCATACTATAAGATGTTGGAAATCAGTATAAAACTGCTCAAATAGAATTCTCAGCCCAGAGATAAAATGAACAAGAGAGCAATGCACATGACAGAATCCCAGTATAGAGATGCAAGTCCTGTCTCACTGTCATCTAAAATGAGAAATACCAGCCATCAAAATTATATGTTTATGCAAAGTCTTCCCACAGCTTCTCCTGCAGATATATGCTGGCTGCACTATACCTTGAGCTGGGCAGCAGAGTCCTAAAAGACAGGTCTTCCAAAGGGCAGCTCAGGAGTAGCAGCCAAAGGAGTGACCTGACACACAGGCTAGTTCTCAGTACTGCACCCCTTGGTTTCTGGGAAGAACAAGATGACTGGATGACACAAACTGGTTTGAACACAATGCAGTGTTCTCTATATTCCAAGTATGTCCAGAGCTACCAATCTCTCAAATACATATAGAAACAAAAACTGCTATGTACATATTTTTAGCTACACTGTCCTACCCACTCCTCTAGCATTGTTTCTATGCAGGGAAGCTGGAAATGGATTAGTGGAGACCTTTTGTGCATTAGCTATTTTAGTTGGAGTGGACACTACTCTGGGTTCATCCTTAAGAGGGGCCCATTCTGTCCTGTTGCTATTGCCATGGTGACAAAAGTGGCCTGAGTCTAATAAGAATTAAGGCATCCTTCCTTGACATTTGCTTTCAGTAGGGGCACATGATGGCATTTTTTACTGTCAGAATACAGAGAGGACTCCAGTCTTATCTAGTCTTTAGTGTGCTACTCTAAGACAACCCAAAAAAACCAAAGCAAATATTCTTACAGGTGCTTCTGAAGGTCATGGAAGTCAAGGAATTAGTCACTAATCTTGGGAAGGTATCAAATTCAAGCTTCACTAAGTTTACAGATTCCACATTTTTCCATAAGTGAGAAATTAACAGAAAAGTGAAGCTGCTCATTACGTTTTCATGGTTAATTAGAATTACTGCTTCATGTTTTGCTCACCTGAGCTGTTGTCTTGCCTTGCTCCAGTGTCCTACTGTCATTTTCACTCTTCTGCATTACATTCCTGTTTTCAGATATGAACCTGGGTGACTCTGGGACACAATTGTCCACTGGGAAAGACAGGCTTTCAGGGTCAGGTAGTGGTGAAGCACTGAGTTCTGCAGGAGGACTGTA